CATGGATGGGTGGATCTATTAATTGGACAATATCACGTGATAAATGGCATCCCCCTAACGTTAATTTTCACAAAAGGTTATCTGGACTCAAATTGTAATTTGTGTCCTGAATACATATATCGCGATAAAATTAAAATTCGTTTGCATTTTAAAAACTGAGATGCTTAGCTTTTGAAACATCTAAAAATTTAAATGTCATAATGTTGATTTTTAAAAACCTTTATGACATATTTGTCATTCAATTTTGAAACAAAAAAAGTTATAAAACTTTAAGAGATCGAAGTGATTATAATGACTTTAAAATGACCTTGTATGGTACTGTAATTGTCAATGTGAATAATACAAATGTAAAGTTTGAAAATATTTAAATCCGTAATAATTTAGGTTGTAATTTAGAAATCATCGATGGTTAGGTAATTTAGTCCAGAAAAAGCGTTAAACACATTCGATTTGATTAAGTGTTTTAAGGAAATATAGCTAGAAAAAAGTTTGTTTAGTTAGTTTGTAGCATTAGAATTTCAGTTCCCACACCCAAATAACTCACCTAAAATCCTCTAGTCCTTAATTTCGAAGCTCAAAATTATCATATAATACCCGTAATTCTTCCCTCTGTAACTTCCCCAATTCCACGCATCAAGTAATATTCATGGTTATCGGCACAGGCAATTGAAACTAACTAATAACCATAGTCCAATCCCCTTCTCCCGTAGCCAAGCAAAAGTAATGAAAAAATCAATCATCATAAAATACACAAAAAATTGACAATTCACCCCAATTGCTAAACCTAACTTAAATTGCATTAATAAATCAATACGGAGACGTTATATGTACTTAATAGAATTTTTAGCATATGTATTAGACTTCGCTGTATATTTAGTGTTTCGGGATAGATTTTGGCCACTTGAAAAAATCACATCAACGTCTTAATACTATTTTTCATCCCAGTTATATTCATAGGTATCTTCATAACATTAGTTTGAAAGATTATATGACACGTCAAAAGCCTCGTCTTTCTCGATTAAATTGGTGCAAAACCAAACGTAATTTGGAACGAAGGGTGGAAATAAATCGTATGGTCTGATTTGCATTATTTATATCAGATGGGCGAGTAAAAGTGTGACGAAAGATAGGAGAAATTCATAATAAAGTCTGTATTAAGTCTACTGTTTAATGCAATGGGGGATCTGTAATGTTTTGGGCTGTTTTGAAGAAAACTTGAATTCTGATGTTTATGTCAATGTTCTTGCAAATGACTTTCTATCATGGATTCGTGATAATCTAAACATTGTATTTCAACAAGATCGGGCACCATGTCATACATCTTATACGGCTTGGTGGATGGAAGCATATAATATTCCGCTTTTAGGTTGGGTTTCATTATAAGCAAGCCTTCCTTCGAATTTATATATTATTTTGCTAATAGAAACTAAGTCTAGATAGTGATTATCTTGTTGGCAGAAACTAACCTTGAATTTGATTATTGATTAGTTGATAAAAACTAAGCCCAACTTTTGCGATGTCATTCTGAAATTACATTTATTTTATTATAGTAATTTGCAAACAAAAGATCTTTAAAACTTTTAGAGTAACCCTCTACTTGTAAAACATTCAATTTATACTCAAGATTTTGTAATGCTCAATTATAAAATGAAAACTGCTCTTTTAATTTGTTTTTATAATAATTATTTTAAAAAATTTTGTAATGACAATATATCACCACCACAGTGATCGAAGATCAAAATGTGATACCACGTGACTCATGAAAAGTTTAAATTCACTTATTAATGAATACTCTAATGAAAATATTCCTCGACAAATGTCATTATATATATGGTTTTCAATAATAATATTGATAATAATATATATCTCTATGAACGGTGATAACTAATTTATTTAAAAAATCACTTGTTTAAAATTTTATTAGTCGTTATAAAATAATAGACATGTAGCAAATGTTATAAATTTTTATGTTAATAAAAATTATCTATAAAAAATTTTGACAATTTTAGACAGACAATAAGTGAAAGAATCTTCAAAACTATATAATATAAAATATTTAATTTCGGAAGCACGATCATGATCATTTATTTTAGCCCTCTGATACCATACTAATGCCAAATACTTTCCAAGTTTAAACTGAGCTTTCATATGTTCCAGCTCTGCTGCTTTCAAATAACATACAAATGATTCATTATCATTTCATAACATCGTCCAAGTCGAAAATATAATAAGAATTACAATTTTATATTGAAAGAAAATCAAATAATTCGTTTTCCAAAGTTTTATTTGCATCATTTACCTCATAACTTTGTCTGATAAATATTATTGCTAAATATACTCAGATTTTAAAAATTCATGTGACTTCTTTTCATCTTTGAATTTTACTTCTCCATTTTCATAACAGAAAGCAAGATTAAACTGTGCTTGGGAAACTCCAGACTCTGCTGCTTTCAACTATCACCCGATGCTTTTTCTTCATCTTTGATTGTTTCTTCTCCATTTTTATAACAGAGAGCAAGATTAAATTGTGCTTGAGTATCTCCTGACTCTGCTGCTTTCAAATACTACTCAACTGTTTTTTCTTCATCTTTGGTTGTTCCTTCTCCATTTTATAACAGAGAGCAAGATTAAATTGTTCTTGGGGAATTCCTGCTTTCAACCATCACTCGAATTCTTTTTGTTCATATTTGATTTTATTTCAGTCGTTGGGATAACTGAAATCATTTTAGTTGTGTTTCATTTTGATAGTTTTGATTATTTAAATATAATCGCGCGCTTTTTGATTTCATATAGATATACATGTACATGTGCGTAATATTAGAGTGTCCAGTTTTCTGCAAATGTAGAATTTGCAGAAATCTGCTGTAATTTGCAGAATTTGCAGAATCCGCATGGGTTTATAACGTGATTTATGTGTTTACAATTTATATTATAAAAAATTGATGATAGAAAGCGAAAGAATCTATTGAAAAATTAAATTTTAAAAAAACCTGATAACTTTGGGACGCGATATCTCGATATCCAACAGTCCAATTTGGATAAAAATATAACCATTAGCTTCTATCAAAATTGGACTGTCGCGTCCCAAAGTTACCAAATTTTTTTATTTGATCATTATAATGATCTAGATGTTTTTTGATTTATAGAATTTGCATTAATTTCTGCGGCGAAATATAGTAAACTGGACACTAACATGTACATATATGTATTGCATACATGTACACGTTCCAATAAAAAGAGTTAATCACAAGATATAAAATATACAATAAAATTTCTCAAGTTTAGAAACAGAAAGTAGTTTCATAGACAAAATTCGTAATATAACCAGTTTTTCAAAAAGAAATTCTTGTAAAACACAAAATTGACTTAATCTCTCGTCTATAGGAAAGATAAATATACATGAAAAATTCTGCTAAAAAAAGCTTTATCATTATTCTATACGTTTTGACTGTATATAAGTCCTTATAAACATGATAATATGCATTGTTGACCTTTTAATAAAATACCGAAGAATAAAATTTTGTCATACGTACATGTACATGTTATAAATTTATAAAAATTCATATTTTCTCAAAAATTCATTATAGATACCTTTACGTTCAATCAACGTTCGCTATCTCGTCTATATAGTTCAAAGTAGGAGATTGAACCATTCCTTCTTGTTTTTCAATCAAAGTATATTCTTGTGTGATGCATTCAATATCCAATCACTAACGCTAAATTTTGGTGATCAAATTAACTTTTTCTGATAATCTGATAAACTAATTAGTTTTATTAGAATTTTTAATTTTTAAGTTCAAAGTATAGCGGTATAGAGAAATAGTATTGTTTATAAGTAATAAATCATCAAGAGATTTACAAGCTCGATTTATCCTTGTATTTGCAATAAAATATTATATGTTTGCAAATAATAACCACAACAAATTGATATTGCACTTTCTCATAAAAATCACACTAAAATGTCTGCAAAAAATTTTGCATAAAACATATTTTTCTCATTTTAATTAGCATCTCGTTGGCTTTGCCAATCAATCATGTATTTGTTTTCAAGAAGTTGATCACGTAAATTTTATTTCCCGTGTATTTGTAAAAACATGTTTTTGGATCATTGAAAAACCTTTCGAATAAATAAAGTTTGAAATGACACTCTTGGTAAACTGCTTTTTTCCATTTTCTCTTTCAGTTATTTTGAAGAATAATGATAATGGATTTGGAAAAAAGCAATGCACATATCAATATCGTTATGAAACATAAATAAAATTTGACTGCATGTAAGAAAACTAGTTGTCTTGAACATTTTATAAAAATATCCAATAATAAGTAATATGTTGCAGCGAGAAAATGATATTTTTAGCTAATTAAAAATTGGTTTTTTGATTATATAATATATATACGGGTGGTGCTTAAAATTGATGGTTACGGTAAACGAAACGGATTTATGAATTGACATTGATTATGCAAACTAAATTACTCAGAATTCCAGAAAATCTGGCTGAATGCGACAATTATCTTCGAAAAAAGTAGTAAACTACGAAATTTGGGCACTTGATTGAACTGGATCCAAGTCCAAATCCAAATATCCAAAAGATCTTGGTCTGAATGTTAAGTGCTAATAATAGTATTTTTGATATTTGCTATAATTTGGACGGATTTTTTGTACATTTGGACAAATATTTTGGAAAACTTTGAACTGAGTCCAAGATATTTGATTGGACTGATCCAAATGTCAACCCAAGTTTAAAACATACTATTAATAGTACTTGACATTTGGACCAATTTTGTCCAAGATTTTTTGGATATCGGATTTGTCAAATCCAAGTATCCAAAAATCAAATGTCAACTCTGAGTCAAATATATGGACTTTTCATTGCAAATCCAGTAATATATTTTCTTAATTGAAGAAAAAGTTCGATTTTAATAAATGTTTTCATAGGTATTCATATGCTCGGGCTTATGATATATATAGTGTTAATTTTTTGTATCATTCATTTTGCATATCATTAAAAGTTATAAAGTTTGTCTACTGACTCAAAACTATAAAAGTGATATTCAACTTTTAATTCCTCTATTTTCTTTATAATAATCTCCAATTCTTGTTTTTTTCGCGGTATTTCAAATTCATAAAATGCAATTTTTTCCCTTAGAATTCTTTCAAACTCCTTTTTTCGTTGACGTGATCTGCGTGCTGAATTGCGATTATATTCTTTCCGAGACTCTCTTCTCTTATCGAATTCCGTCGTAGCTCGAAATTCGATAGGATATGAATTAGATATGCCAAAAGGTCCTGGTACAATGTTATCTATAACTGGATTTATTCCGAGTCTCTTGATGATTCAACGATATTAAATGTAGGTAAATCACTCACCGTTTAATAACAAGACTTTTGAATTGTCTTTAAAGTCTAAAGTTTGCCCCGTCATCGGACTTTGATTTGCAATAAAGTAATTGTCAAAGCTCGGTTCTTTAATTAACAATTGAAATTGCTGACTATTAACAGGTTCTTCTGGAGATATGTATTTGCTATCATTACTAGGATTACAAAAAGGATGAGAAACTTTTGAAATAATAGTTTATAGTCAATAATGCATCAAGAATTACCAATTATTGTAAAATAAAGACGTGATGATGTTCACACCTGTTAAAGAATTTATATACGCGTTGGAAACTAAGTGTTTCTCACCAATGTCAAAGTTTTGATAGAAATTATTAATTTCACCAAATATATCGGTATAAATAAAATCATCTTCCAAAAGAATTGTGGCGGGGCTTATGATGAAATCAAGAAAAAATTTAATAAAAAGTAATTCACAGAAAATAGAAAATCAAAATCATTATATTTTCACCTAATAGGTTCATCGACCAATATAGATTCGCTCATCTTTCTATTAGAACTATACTTAATAAAATTTAGATCAAGGATTTTCTGCATTAAATATTTTTTTATGGAATTTTTTTAATTAAATAGATTTTTCGCAGAGTGATCAATGACGTTAAACAAATCTAAAGTATGTTTAATTATTTGACTTATGAGAAATTGCATAGATTTCACATACGAATAATAGGCTACGTCATGTATCATATCAAACTAATAAAGTATTTTAGTTATCATAAATTTAATAAAACTTTAAAGCATGACGAAATATCAATTTCTCATTGGTCTTCTTATTGTAAAAATCCAGTTAAATCATCACTTAGATTGATGCATAGCCTAATTTATTTTGTACAAAACAATCTCTATATATGTCAAGAGTTTAGGAACTAACATACACGAATCGTATCTGGGCCAAATGTAACTATGATAGTTTAATTTGAAATATTGATAAAAGTTGATAAACAAAACTTAATATTTTTAATCTTATTAATCTCAAATATATTGTCAATTGTTTATATTATGAAAATTCTATTGTGAATAATACTATTCTATGTATTGCATAAAGTTAATAATCCACTCATACTTTATAAACTACATTCAGATTTGTTATTAGTTATAATTGATATCCTGAAAACTGAATTATAAATACAAAAAATAAAATGATCAAATAAATCAGAACAAAAATTATATTTGATTAAGTATATAAAAATACAATTTAATTATATTTTTAAAAATATTATAAATAAATGATAAACTTTTTCAAATAGAGATCATACAATTAAACTTAAAAATAAATAATAAATATAATTTCCAAAATATAAATAGCTAATTGGTTATTAAATTAATAAAAAATATAAAAAATTTTGAGTTTATATTAATAATAATAGAACTATATAAAGTTAATATCAATGAGAAAATTTTATATTAAAAATTTATTTTACAATTTTCTATTATTAATGTAATATAAGAATATATTTTAAGTTAATAAAATATATCAAGTATTATTTAATAAATTTCTAAATTTTTTTAAATATAATAATAATAATAATTCTTTATAACTCTATTAATAATTACACTTTTCTATAATTATTCTTTTTTATATTTATTAAATTTGACTTTTTTATTATTAAGTAAATTATAAATATTATTTCAAGATTAAGTATTTATAAAAAATAATATTTTATATTAGAAAAGTTTATAATAATAAATGCTTTATATTGTTTATTCATAAAAATAAATGTTTAATTTAATTATTTATATTTATTATCTCAGAGCTTTACGAAATTATATATAAAATATTGAATTTCATATACATTAAAATTATCAAAAGTTCTAAAATAATATTTAATTTTATTGGAAAATTAAAAATGTTTTTAGAAATTATAATTATATGTTGTATATTGTAAAATACAAACATTAAAAATCTGTAAGGCATTTGCTAATTTAATTCTGAACTACTTGAAATATTTCATAATCCGCGATTTCAAAACTTATTTGTTGGCTGACATCGCTTAAAAGCCCAAACTCAAAAGAAGATTTTTGACAATAATTATTACCTGAAGAAGTAAATAAACCTAAGTCATGACCATCTCCAAAAAAAGGGCCTAGGTCTTTATGATCCCATGCACCGTAACCAGAATTATATTTACTTAAAACTCCATTTGATCCTGTCGTATCATTAGAATCAAATTCATACAAAAAGCAGTTCTTCAATCCAGAAGAAATTACATTACGGGATTTAAATTCAATTGGATTGTAACCACCAATAATCTTGTTAGAATTTTTGACACGAACAGCAACAATGGTTGAACCTTTATGATCACATAACCGATGGAAATCACTAGCAGTAAGCCCATCCCGACTGCCACGTAATAATAGATTAAAATCGAGTTGATAATTTTTTCCATCATCTTGTTCTTTTATCCATTGGGAAAGTTTGTTGATTTGGCTGCGAGAAAGAATTGTTGATTTTAAGCTAGACGAATTACGGATGGGGTGAAGTGACGCTTGTTGTTCCTCACTTCCAGGTACCAAATAATGATGCAATAAATCATTGTAAAGCTTTTTCGATAATATTGCTGAATACGGCATCACTTTATTATAGAAATCAACAGAGTTTATATGAAAGAAACGAATTAATGGTAGACATTTTTCGAGCGAAGTGCTGAGTTGATTGAATTCGTTTTGTGACCATTGTTCCACTGGAATCGAGAAATCAACATTCCCAGAAGTTGATGCTTGAGCGATTCCCCATACAAGAGTCTTTTCCCAAATTTAATCTCGCTTAGATTCAAATCATCTCGTTTGAGCAAGGAGAGAATTGTTGTTTCTTGAATTTTCGTAAAGTCACTGGATTCAAAAATCACCATCGGATTTCTACACGCAATTTCTGTACAAAATTCCTGGAGTTTGACGAAGGAGTTGTGTTGAAAAGCAATTTGATTGATCATAGCAAAATTCTCAGCCATGGATTTAGAAAGTTGCTCCAAAAGGTATTCTTGGATATATTCAATCAAATCTTCAAGAATCAATTCATCAGCAGCAGCCAATAAATCTAGAAGCGTTGACACCCCATGATTTGACAAATCGATCTTTCCGCTGTACATATATCTTATTTGTATAAAGAATCATGACCATACTCAATTTAATGAAATTTTTTGAAAATATAATTCATGAATACTTTAAACATGAAGATTACCCCAGCAAGATTTCAAAAATGCATGGTTTCATGTTTGGTTTCTTAAAGGCGATTAATTTGTTAGGTTCTCTTTTCACACACGCGTCGGAAAGAGCAATAGCAAAATATTCTGATTGCGCTATTAATATTGACGAATGAGCTGCAAAAGTTCGCTCAGTATTTCGAACATCTCCAACAACGATCAAAAGTCGCGATATTTAGCGTTTTTATAAAATTTCGTCAATTTATAGTGCGAAGTCAATAATAAGTCAGGTCTCATTTTTTATGCGGGTTACAAATTTGATAAACGTAGCGTAGTGTGTTTGTTGATCAAAATGCGGAATTTACTTGCGCTTCTACATATACATGCAAACATGTATATATGTACAGTACACAGTAACGGTGAATTTTAGCAAAACGTTATGTTGAATTAATTCATTAAAAATCTAAATCTTAAAAGAATATTTTCTCCGGGTTTCCAATAAAAGAATGGTTCCGAACGTTTCGAAAACTGGAGATCGCCAGTCTTCAATCTGAAAAATTCGGTGATGACCAACAGATTACGTAACGGCAACCGAATTCTCGACATTTGGGTTTCGGTAGAATTCGAAATAAAATTATGAGTATAGTATGTTATATGGCAAAGTAATTGATTGACATAAAAAGAATCAGTATTTCTTTTTGTATAAATATTACGGATAAGAATCGACTGGTATTACATTTTAGCTAATATAAAAAAAGGGAGTATAAAAATCGTTCTTAACTTTTTTAGATGCACAATTTATTTAATGTGTTTTTATGTACTGTACATTGCCCATTAAGGATCGACAAAAAATCTGATAAATTTTTTAATACATGTACATGTACAGTGGCCTATCAAAAGTCACCGGACATCATGTTGATCCCCAGTCGTTTTACAAATAATACTG